GATGAGAGCTAATTTTAAAAAATGATTCTGCGCAGCGCATAGAGGCATACATAAAATTGAAGCAGCTTCGAAAATGCTCTTCAGTAGCAGACTACTGTGTGGAATTGGAGGAGCTAACTCGCAGAGTCTATCCAGACGCAAGCGATAAAGAGCTGTCTACGATTCGAGCAGTAGAACTCATAACACAACTCACAGAATGGAAAGAATACACACAACTCTCCAGCGCATTAGAGCAGTCGAAATAGGAAGAAGCTTACGAAAGGCTCAAAAACATGGCACAATGCATCGAAAGAAGCCGGGAAGTGGCCAATGCGGTGCGATTCGCTGTCAGATCAAGTTATGACAGTCGTCAAGACGAAGTACGGGATCGTTCTAAGACTGTGTCTCCATCAAGCGCCACTAAAACTGAGAAACCAGGACAGCTCGATGGAAATAGAGAAATAAAAACTTGCTCTTTTTGCAAGAAAGAAGGACATTACAGAAGAGATTGCTGGAAAGCTCGCGGGGATCGAAACAGACAATCTCAGAAGGTACAATCCCCGCCACCTAGCACTGCTAGTCTTCCAAATCCAAATAGCGTCCCTAAGAAGCAAAGGAAGGAGGGCAGCGAAACCAAACGTTCACCACAACGTTGAATCGTTGGAATTGCAATAAAATCAAGGCGAATTCAAAGCTGACAGTGAATTGTTCAGCAAACATACCATCGCCACAGTGAATCTCCTGGGCATGTCAAAGCTAGCGCTACTGGACACATGGATCTCAAATTAGTATTATGCCACTCAGGGTACTAAATGAGGCGCAAGAAGCAGGAGTTGACATAGACGGAGATGTGGAAGAAATACCAATGCCCAAGCATAGGACAATCTATGACGCCTCTGGGAACAAAATGAGCTTCAAAGGTCGCAATACGCCTTACAGTAAAGACTAGAAACACACAGCCCCGAAGGGTGGCAATGTTGGTCAGAAAGTCACATGACGATATGATAGTCTCCAGAACCAATGCACTAGGGACATTCAACTTACTGCTGAAGGAAGACCACAAGTCAGTTGCATCGACGAAGTCCCAACAAGGGCGAGATAGACCATTAAGACGAAGCCGTTTGAATAAAAACAGGACGCTACAAAAGGGAAACTTTCGGATTTATCTATCTACGGTAGTTCAGCGAGTATAACATTCGGCTAGGAGAAACAAAACCCGTGGCTTTCCATGCCAAAGACTGGAACAGATCAGATGTTATGGTCCCATTGCGATGTTATCCCTGATACCATATGTTGCAGCAGCAAACCAGTAATCGAATACCGGTGACCAACACATTGTATCAACCTAAAGTCTTCCGTGCAGGAGAAGAAGTAGGGAGCTGGGACACAAGTTCCATCGTGGAACGACCACCGGCGGAACATACTAACATGTTGGAACGCACTTGTCGCAGTATTTCTGCCAAAGAAAACAGAATACGGAAAATGACAAGCTTCTCAGAGACCTAATAGAACAATTCAGCGATGTTTTCGCAGTCTCGGA